TGCAGCTGGGCGCTAAGCGTAAGGAGCAGCTGGCAGCCAAGGAGCGTTTCAGCTATCAGGGCACCTTTACGCAGTCGGGCCTCAAACCGGAGCCCACTGGTACAACTCGATCCATACAGTGAGTGGTTACCCCATAATTTAAAATAAATCCATTTGACAATTTGTCTAATCCTTTACAGCAATGGAAACGCAACGCTGCGCAGCACAGATCAGTCTACGGTGAAGCTGTCTGTGCCCACGCCCACAACGCCGGCGCATAGTCCACGCTACTCGCTGCTGCTGTGCGACACGGAGAGCTCGGAGAATAGCTCGGCAGTGAATACGCCACAGTATGATATGGAGCCGCTAATGCTTAACTCTGCCATGTCAGGCATTTCAGGCGTCTCCTCCAATGTGCAACAGCAGCCGCTGCTGCAGGGCTTAGACGCAGGCAGTAGTTATCTGGGCAGTTCACACGAGAGCCTTGGCCAGCAGGTGAGTCGGCTTAGAATTATATCTGGTTCTATTAACCGATTCACATTTTGCCTCTGCTTTCACAGTTCCACCAACAGCCGGAAGTGGAGCAACGGGATATGCATGCCCTGAAGCGTGAACTGTCGCTGGATTTGCAGCCGCTGCACCCACGCCTGCCGCAGCCAGCGAACCGAGCCGCCACGCTGCCTATCAAGGAGCAGCTGCAAGCCAGCTCACCGAACAACTCGAACTTTACGGACAACACTAGTCAATCGGTGACGCCCAGCGAGTTCGGCTATCAGCATCTGCAGCGCCAGCTGAGCATGCACTCACTGTTGGCCACCGAGGAGAGTTCGCCGCTCTACGAGGACTTTGAGCAGACGCCCAGCAATGCGCTGACGCCGCCAAAGCTGCTGCCCGTTGTTAACAGTCCCATCAAGTCGACCATTAGCATAACGTACAAGTCGCCGGAAAAGGAGAAACCGCCGACAAAGCCCTCGCTTATGCTGGAGACGAATTTCGATGAGAACATTGTCTACGAGCAGGTGAAGCTGTTTAGGAATTCGGTAACCGAGGTGAATCAGTTGCTGAATGAGCGACACGGCCAGAGCCTCAAGCAGATTGAGGAGGAGGATATCAGTGCCAATCGTGCGGCGCAAATGACTCAGCAGCTGCTGCAGCTTGAACAAGACCCCGAGGATGAAGAAGACGAGGAGGAGGAGCGAGCGCAGGAGCAGCTGCTTTATGAGAACATCGAGCTGCGCAAGCCGAAAACAGTTTATGAGAATCTACGTGGCGAGGAAATGAAACTCAATACATTAGGAAACGAACTAGAGCTCGAGTCGGATTTGGATTTGGAGTCAGTGGTGAAACAGCAGCCGAGCTGTGATAGAATCGAACTGGACAGCCTGGATAGTTTGCCGAGCGTCGAACACATCAACATGGAACAACACGAACAGCCCAGCAAATCGCCATCGTTCAGCGTCAAAGAGCTGGCGACCAAATTTGAGAGTTCGCCTGTAGAGCAGTTGCCTAACTTTGATTTCACACAACGCGGTGGCTCCATGAAAAAGCCAAATGAGCTGAGTCTCCCCATCGCAGTTCCACCGAAGCCTGTGATGCCTGTGCCACTCAAAAAACTCAATAATGCGCAGAAAATAACACGTTCGTTGGACGAGAACGCTTTTGTCCGCGAGTTTGGCGGCAAGCAGCTGCAGGACTTGACAGCCTGTAAGATGCCAGAGCTGCCGGAGCTGAACAATCGTCGCAAGAGCTTTGATTTCACGCGTCCCAAGACGCTGAATCCGCCCAAGCGTTTGCCAGGCATGAGCATTACCGAGGAGATATGCCAGAAACGCGTCAATGAACCGGAGGAGCCGATCACCACTCCCACCACAGAGAATCGCATCTCGCTGATACAGCAGAATAATGTGCCTGCCCGTGAGCAGCCCCAACCGAATGCAGCAACCACATTGAATCTACCCGCTGGCGGACGCAAGAGCGTCTTGACTGGCGTTATACTCGATCGCGAGCGCATCGATAAGATCAAAGAGGAGCGTCGCCAGCAGCTGACTCAAAAGTACTATGGGGACACAATTAAGTCACGCTCCAAAACGGAGCTCAATTCGGATGACAATAATTTCCAGGCCCCCGATTCGATGCGCATCAAGTCCAAGTCGCGCGGTGATATGCATTCCCTGCAAAAGGACATGGACATGAATCTCAAGCAGCTGGCACGCGCTGGTGCTGGCTCTGAGAGCACATTACATCACCCCGGCGACTTTGGCACACAACGTGTGCGCAGCATCTCCGACGAGAAGAACCAGAATTGTGATACCAGCAATGGGTCCAGCATGAATCTAGCCGTGCACAGCGTCAAGACGACTGCCCAGAAATATGCGGCCAGCAATGCGCCAGTTATCACAGCTATTACGACTTCAACGATGCCAGGGAAGTTTGAGCGGGGTATCGGACGCGACCGCCTGTCCAGAAACTCTATGCCCCATCCAATAACCACAGAAAGCAATGCGAGTGTCAAGTAAGTAGTTCATATTTAAATACTCTGTTAATATTAATGATATAATAGGCGCCAGCCGCTTAATATGTACTTTATTTGCATAATGTTATTTAGAGCGGCGTAAATTATAATATTAACAGCTTTAAGTCGCTTAACATAATTATGTTAATGCTAGATATTTTAGAACTACATTCATTAAATTAGTTTAGTAATTTTAAACAATAAACTTTAGTAATATTTATAATTATTGGACCTCGAAAATCGGATGTATTTCACAAATCTTCTTATATTTGCAGCAACAGAGAAAAGATCTCACCGCAATTCTCAATACGCGATATGACTGCAATGTTCGAATCTCGTTCACAAAATCAATAGGCTTAGGCAACATCGAATACAGAATATACAGATTATATAGATAACAGAAGACACAAAAAAGGAAGCGAAGACGAAGTATAAGAAGAGAAAAGGAGCGGCCGCGTTATATAGCTTATTTAGTTTGTAAAATTCTATATGTTAAAAGCATATTTCGAGAGCACATGCATACGCAAATATGTATCTATTTAAATATATATACTTATATATATATATATATTTTGGATTCTGGACCATGCGGCACCAAAGACATAAAACACAAACAAAATCGCCGCTGGATAATATAGAGCAGAGCAAAATTCAATTTTGTTTTCAAGATGAAGCTCAAGAAAGAGTTTCGAGTGAATAACTAACTAAAAAGACCCAGCGCCAAATGCAAATTGTTATTGCATTGGGCGATCTTAGGTGTTAAGTTTATGTTTATATATATGCGTATATATACATATACATATATATGAATTCTCGTTTATTTGTATAATTATTGCATTTCACTTGACTTGATTTCGGTTTGTTTTATGTGTGATTTGTTTCATTAATGTTGATTGAAAAATTAAGAAAGCAAAAAAAAAATTAAATTAAATGTATAAGTGGAGAGCGCTAAGAGTTTTTCTTAAAATTTAACTTAATTTAAAATTATGCATTTCGACGCAACTTTGAGTGAGTTGCTTTAAGTATATTATTATTATTATTATTATTATTATGCGATTAATTTATATATTTTAACAAAAATCACAAAGTTTATAAAATAAATACAAATTCGATTTATTATGAACTATTTTTATTTAAACTTAAATACTTGTAAATACTCTACGCTTGCTTGTTCTAAATGCGCTACGCGGCTTGCAAAATATGGCAAAATGAAAAGAAGAGCAAATTAACTAAAAAAGTTTTATTGTACAATTTAGAAGTGCTTTGAAACGCGGGCCTAACAAATCTGTCAGAAATCTAAAACAAATTTAAAATATACAAATTATTTCCAATGAAAAAGCATTATTCTTTCTTTCGTTTGTGTTTAGATAGAATAGATCTGTGTAGAACCTGGTAGCTTAACACTTTGAAAACAATGGTTGCTTATAGGCTAATATGGTTACAGTTCGCTATAAAGAGAACAATAGTATAAGAAATTTTCGAATAATTTTATAGTCCATTATACAAATTTTTCAACTAGAATCAAACAGGTTTTCGGAGCCTTATAAAGCAGCTTGATTATGCCTAATTTATGGGCACTCCCGAGAATCTCGTTCAGAATTAAATTCGAATTCTTTTTAACGACAGATTTATTAAGACCCGCACAAGGCAAGCGCATATATATTTATTGTATAATAAAGCTTTCCTATTCATTAAACTATAAAGACCAACAATAACTAAATGAAATCGACAGAAATTAACTAAACGCTAACTTATTGAAATTAGATACGATCTATAACCATTTAGAATATTTAAACAGTGTGGTTTATATTAAAATTTTTACTACTAGTTAAATTTCAGCTAATCAAATTTTTATAAAAATTAACTTGCATAACAAATTTTAATTTAGTCGTCCTGACCCAGCTGCCAAATTTTTACTGAGCATTGAAAAAATCGAAAAGCTGTTAATCTAAACAGATTTATAATACAAACAATAACTAAATAGAAAGCTTTAAAACAAATAAGTTAGCATTTGATATATTTTGATAAAAGAACATAATAATAATAAAACCGCAACTTAGTTATAAATAATTGTATTGTATAATGACTGACAGCTGAAGTGGAGATAATGAAACCGAAAAGCACTTGCGAAATGATTTGAAGTACATTATTTGCATATACATAAATATATTTATTATACAAACGCATTACTATAAATGAATATATATATATATTTATTATAAAGGAAGCTACTCATTGAATGCATCGTATGCTATTTGAACCAACAATCAATAGCTGCAGGCTAATTTGAAACAAACAGAAACAGCAGCAAAACACAAGTAACAATAACAATAAACAAATAATTTAATACATATTAAAACAAATATATTTAAACGTATAAACTTTCTTTGTATAGTATATATGGGTATTTATTGTGTATATTATGATATATGTAGCTACGATAAACTAATACAGATACGGTAGTCGGACACCTTCGACTTGTTAGTGCATAATATATTTTTAATTGGCCCGGCAACAGAAGTCACCAGGCACTGCAAAAAGACTCATTAGAGTGCTCCTCTCCACGGAAATCTTTAGTAAAAGGCGAAAGATTTATTCGACAACTGAAGAGAAGCCAGAGTGAATTAACCCAATCAAACACCTTGACTCTACCTCAAGCAATGCTTGAACTGGTTGTGAATTATATGATTGGAGTTGCACCTGAAGAACCCCTAAAGTAGGCAACGGCGCTTCCCCTAAGTAGGCAACAGTGTACACGGCGCTACCCCTAAGTAGGCACCACTAGCATCACACACGTGTCTCGCTTATAATTCGCAACTGGTTTTAGCTGTGGCTACATAGAGGCCTGGGTATTTATTCATTGCAAGTTATCGCTTCTCGGCCTTATGGCTAAGATCAAAGTGTAGTATCTGTTCTTATCAGCTTAACATCTGATAGTCTCTCCATTGGAGAACAACAAATGTTAAACTGATTTTTGGAATCAGACGGAGTGCTAGGGGCTTGCTCCACCTCTGTCACGGGTTGGCCCGGCATTGCAGTATCGCCGGGACTTCGGCCCAACTGAATAATGAATCTTAATTTGCTTGTTAAGCGCTTTCTACAATAACTCGTGTCATTGTTCTCAGTTTTTATTCATAAAGGGCTTTTTGTGCAACACCTGAGTTCCCTCTGTTATGAAATTTTTGATTAACTGGGATGTGTTTAACCAGCCTGCTGTGAGCGGGGCGGTTTAAAAAAGGACAACACGTGAGAAAACTAATTTGATTAAATTGCCACAGAAACGCTCAGCGTGAGACGCTGCTTTGAATGACAATGGCTACCTTATCGCCTTATGAAATCATCAACAACAGCCAGACGACAAAGGCAGCAATAGCCGCCATATAGCTGGCTACTTAACGGCGAAAGGTCACGAAGGGCAGCAGCAGCAACAACAACCACCCGACAAACAGGTAGCTAAGGACCGCTGAGTGAGTATATACCATAAATATACATAAGGTATATATGCGGGTTGTTTGAAGAATGCACTAAATGCTGTGCATAAGTGTGAAAACGTTTGCATCCTGCTGCGCTTCCTACGGCCCATACCCTTACACCCCATGACCCTGCCCCCTGTGCTCACTGTTTCGGCTTGATTGACGCTGATAGGGCACGTGTTGGCAATTATTCGAGAATAAACATGAAAAGCTTCTGCTGGTCAAATCAGATGACTTCTTGTTGAGCACGCCGAACAGGCTTTCACTTAGCGTGACTTACAGACTGCCTTAACATTTTCGCATCATTAAAATTTGGCCAGGAACGTTTATTAAATAAAATTAAGTTCGTCAAGTTCAAGAGCTACCCATTAATCACTTTGCTGTAATAAATAAATTTAAAAAAATGAAGTTTTTCAAATTAAAGTATAGAACACCTTTATATTCCTTACCATATCCAATATAATACAAATTATTGTCAACATCGGACGACTATATCACAGCTATTTTATGCAGTAAAAGCTTACAATGTGTAGTATAGATATTTATCCTTTTTACTATATACATATCTATATATTTGGCTTATATTACACGCTTATTAAACACCTTTCGCCTAGAGTTCACAAATGATCAACTAGCTTTATTTTTTGGCTCTTTGATTGTGTGCCTAGGCTACATTTAAATCGAAAATATGCTCAGAATAGGCCTTGCCACGCCCTTAAATGTTAGCCAAAACTCTCCACGAAACCCCTTTAGTTAACAATAGAAAACATTTGGTAAATCAAATTTTATGACAATTACGCGCTGCAAATTAAATCAAATAGCACACGGCCGAATCAAACAAATATATCAAAATAACAAAATATATCTGTGTTCGGGGTGCTGATAAAATCATTGAGAAAATGCCAGCAAATTACAGGCTGCCACTTTCCCCGCTCTGCCCCGCACCCCACATACACACTCATGTGCACATATTTCGATGTAATTTAATATGTGGCACGCGTTTGGCAAACTTTTTTTTTTTTCATTTTGTATTTGTTGGTGGCAGGTCGAGCAGGATATGCTCTGGCTCTCGGCTCTGCGGCTCAATTGTTGCCAATGAGAGCAATTGTGTTGTGCTGCAGAGGGAACGTGTACGTTGTCGGGAGAGGGTGACGGCGGCGGGAGGGGTTGGAGGTGGGTCGGAGTAGGTTGAACTGGTAATTGCATTTGTTACTGCTCTAATTGTTTGGGCGGAGGGCAACCGGGCAAAAGGTTACTGTGCCTTGGTTAACAACAAGAGGCTTTTAATAAGTAAAACCCCGTTGTAGCCGAAGTCCTGGAACTCCTGCAACTGAAAAGTGGCGCAGAACGTGGAAAAACTTTGAATCAGTGCAAGGGCGGACAAATGGTCCCACCCGGCTATTAATTGACAACGCTTCCACGGCTTAAATGGAGAACCTACAATTAGGAATATGTGAAATTAATGGAAGCGATTCAATTGCTGTATAATATAATTAAGCAGATTATTCATAAACTGATTGAAACAGCCCCATCTGGCATACATTTTGTGTCTAGGAAATATTGAAATTTTCTCACTGGGCTGCAAGAGTATTGAATTAAGGAAAAAGTCACATGAAATTCAATATGAAACTACTTAAACATTTTTAAAAATTTATTATACTCGCTAAACAATATATGTTATAACCACAAAGAGTCATCTCTGACCTTATTAAGGATTTCTGATAAATATCAGCTGACGACTTGATGTAGTCGCGGTCGCATGATGTAGTTGCTCTAGGAGATTAGAAGAGCTTTATACTTCAAATTCAAAAGGCAGGTTCTGGCAAAAGCATATGTACATCGGTATATTAAAATTTATAGATAACTCCCACACATATCTTCAAAGTCTTTAAATATTGATAAATAGTCGAGTTTTTATATGTTATTTCTCGCAGATTAATCACCTAGTTAATACAAATATGGTGCTTAGGTTCTCGTATGGCATACTCAGATTAAGAATAGTTTTCTCTTTAAATCCATGCTTTAAAAGAATTTTTATGAAAATTACCTTGTTTTTAAATCCTTTCCAGGACTCTTCGTGCTTAAAGACTTATGCTTAGTACATTTTTTTATTATATTTATAAAAAACCTTCGATAGAATATGAGGTTAATCATTCATCTGATATGTCGTAACTTTTAAAGTTAAAGTCAGCTAAAAGCTTCTATAGAAAAGTGTTACAAAATATTCTAACAACGATAAATCGTAAATACGATACGAATCTGAGTAAACAAAAGATCTACATCTTAGAATAGCATTATATCTTTAAAAAAAGCACATAAATAACAAACCCTTATAGAGCCTATATATTTAATATCAGGGAAGTGCCGCCTTTGACCTTAAAGCAAGGATGTTGCCACTTGTGGCGCGGCCCTTTGGCCCTGGCATAAACAAAGTACCCCTAGCTAACTGTATACTTAAGGTTTATGTTGCTCGTTTCAGAAGTTAATTTACCGAGAATCAAACTCAAATGCGGATGCTGCAATCGAGCATCTGAGAAGCCGCCGTCTGTAACCTGATCTTTGACACACTTCAGCTTTGATTTCAGGGAATTATAATAAAAAAAAAAAAAATGCAGAAGGTAATGAGAGGACGTCGCATCACAAAAGGATTTGCCATGCAAACTGACACAAAATGTTGTAATTGCCAGAAGACAGGCATCGGGCGTCGATCTTCCTCCCTCTCCAAACCGCAAAGTGCCCTTGCAATACGATGCCTGATTTTTATTATTATAAAAATTAGGCTTAGCACGTCTGACGGGCACGTGCAACTCCATCGATTCAAATAGAATTCCACAAAATGTTCCCAAACTTTGATTCCTGTGCCGCAACTACACAGAGCATCGATAATAAAGGGCAGTGGAAGTTCTTGAGTCTGTTGGACAGACCTTTAGACATGTATATTTAACACATACTGTAAGCTCTTCCGCACGTTCACGTCAAATGGGAAAACAATGGAGCCGAGGCACTGAAGATGTCAGTTCCGGGGCGCAGTTTAAGTGCCACCAACAAGCAGCTTGTGTCAGTTACTAAGGACGCCAGTAGACAGCCAACGCCCACGCTTCAGTATACGCCCACAATGCAGGCTAAAGTTACCTGTTCCTAAAAATAATGCCCAGAGATTTAGCTAAAGCGACTTAATTGCATGTCACAATTACACCGTTAGAAATTGGGTAAGTACTGAAATTCAAATGTTTTATGAACGAAAGTAGTACATTTTAGAATTATTTATTTTTTTAACAGAAAGGAAGCTTAAAGTTAGAAATTAAAAAAAAATGTATACGAGATTTTGCAGACGGCAAAATTTTTTTGAAATTCTCAAATAATTTGATCGTTCAGGTTTTAAAACAATGCTTCCACAACGATAAGCCCAGGTTTTAGATGAATGTTTTTACATTACAAAATTTTTTTACATATTTCAGCTTACAATATTTTTTAAAAAATGAGTAAGTTGAATATTTGGGCTCTCTCAAATATTGCCTGTCTTATTAACATTATCATTTTTAAAGATATAATTAAAAAACTCTCATTATTATTAATATGAATGCTATGATTATTATTATTACTACTATATTAATTATTAATTTTGCTATTATTATTTGTATGATTCTTACTATTACAATTATAACTATGAGTATTTTTAATTATTATTTTTATTATTATAAAATACTAATTTTATTATTATTATTTTCGTTAGTATTATTCCTTTAGCTATTTTCATTAATATTATCATTGTTTATTATAATTATGTTAAAACTGATGTTTATTATCAATATTATTCGGGCCATTATTATTATTACTAATTTTACTATTATTACTACGATAATTATTATAATTATTATTATTATTATTATTATTATTATTATTATTATTATTATTATTATTATTATTATTATTATTATTATAATTATAATTATTATTATTATTATTATTATGACTATTACAACTATTTTTAATATTATTAATCATGTTAAATTTATTACTTGTACTGTTAAGTATGAGCGTAAATAATTTTTTTACTACTCGAAGCAAAAAGATTTTGGCTTAAACGAAACTGGGCTGTAACCTTGATTTATATAACCAATATGATATTGTCGATCAACTGTCTTAAGTCATCTCTTAAGGAACACTCGTATTATATGTCAACTCTTTGATGTCAGTGTAGTTGGCAGCACAGTTATGCTCTCATACTCCATATAGACACTCACGCATGTGTGTGTGTGTGTGTACATACGTACTTCTAATGCGTCCGCTTTAGGGCTTTAACCTAATAATGATGTTCGACTTACTTTGCGTGACTTATTTTATTAATAAAACGAGCAAATTTGTCTTGCTTTTTGGTCGCATCCATCGCACACATACACACACGCGCAGTATGCTAGTATCCTTGCCAGCTCGTTGCCGTCGTTATTGTTTTTCACAGGCGCACACATACACACACACACCCACTCGCACATCCCCAAGACCCCAACCCTTATAAAACTGCCCCATTGCCATATAGTGACTGCGCGTGGGATAAGGACAAACAGCTGCTTGTTGCGGCAACCCCAGAGCGCAAAACGCTCTGATTGGCTACAGCAGGACGCCAGGACACACCCCCCGCGAAGTGGTATTGTGGGCTGCTGCTGTCTGGGTGGGTTGTGTATGGCTATGCCAAATTATTAAATTACGGCCAAGTATTTTTTTGCCTAATTGTCAGAGCTTAGAGACGGTCTAGAACAAGAGCTAGGGGCGGGTCGGTTCAGGGCGTAAATATTTGAAAGCTCCAGGCTAATGCGTAATATACCTACATTATACTCAAGTAGATGGTGTGGTACAGTTGTGCATGCAAGCGTTTTTCCTCTAACAATCAGCTGTGCGCTAAATTACGCATACGCCGCGTTGGCAGCTTGCCTGCCCGCCTGTCTGTCTGTCTATCTATCTATCTGTCTATCTGTATGGGTAGCTAACAGGCGCACAGTTGCGCCATCAATCGATAACTTAATTATAATAATTGTGGCATTTAATGAATTTAATGCATGCACAACACAATGGCGGCCATGACACGTTAATTATGGGCAAAATGGCGGCTGCAGTCGGCGTCGACGTCAACGCTAACAGCGACCGCAACTGCGAGCGAGTTATTTGCGGTTAACATGGTCCAATTAAACTTAGCAAGTGCATAACCATAACACAGTTAAGAGCCAACATATCAGAGTACTATATGCACACATGTCAATATATATATATATATCTGTATATGTATATATATTTATACATATATAGTTTTATAGGTAAAATGCCAGCATTATGGTCCAAAATCAAGCGGTGCAAATGGCTAAATTGCATTCTGTCGTCATTGTCCTTTGTGCGAGGGAGACAACCATATATGCTACACATGCAAATGGGGGTGTGTTCATACATATACATATACACACACCAATATATATATATTTTTGGGTGCCTAAGCGACAACAGCAATAGCAGCAGCGAACCGCAACTGCATTGCCCGCTTTTGGGGGTGGGATGTCCTGTGCTGTGCTGTGCTGTGCCTTGCCGTGCCGTGCCGTGCAGCTCGAGCCGGGAGCATCGCTTAGAGCGATTTGCTGGTTGATGTGCGGTGATTGCCGCAAACTCAACGCGACCGTCAACGAGTAAACAACATAAGCGCGACGGCAGCGGCAACGGCAACGGCCAGGACATACCAGGACAAAGCGCAACGCAAGCAGGACATGTCAACGCTTAATGAGAACAGCATCAGCCCAGTTGCAACTGCAGCAGCGGCGGCAGCAGCAGCAGCAGCGGCGGCGGCGACGGCGGCAACTGTTGCCAGCAGTAAGAGTCCCGCCACAACGACCACAATGCTAACCACAAAAACGCCATTTTCGATTGAGCATATATTATTTCAAAATTTAAATAGTGCCAGCAACAACCACACCACCAACAACAGCAACCACAGCAATAACAACAACAGCAGCCACAATCAAAAGTGCAACAAATATGCAGTGAAAAGTGCCAGGTGCAACTCTAGTGCCAGCTCCATATCCATATCAAATACCCTATCCAGTGCCAGTGCCAGTGCCAATGCATATGACAATAACAGATATCCAACAAATCCAACAGCGACGGCATCCACACGCCCAACAAGCAGCCCAACGAACCACTCGGCGTCGGGTTATCCCAGCGAGGATTACGTCAAGTCCATGCACAGTCAACGGTTAGTGTCAAGATTGAAAATGATTTTAAAATGAATATATACACGAATATATACGAATTTAATGAAATGCTCTGTGCCCTTCTGCAATTCAATTCGGGTTTTAAAAATTGCTAAATCTAAAAAAACAAAAAACAAGTAAATCTTATATTTTGTCTAAAATTGGCAATGCTGACAAAATCCCAGCGCTTTTAATTCATGCTTATATATTCCTCATAGCAAACTTAGAAATTGATTTCAAATCTTAAGCAAATATGTAGAAAGTCCTATAAGGAGCTATTGGAATAAATAATGGAGAAATGGACGTGATATAATTGTATTATATTTTCGGATTACGTTAAAAGCAGAATTGAATTTTAATTTTATGTTTTAAAGTTTTCCGTCAGAAATTGTTAGCTTGCAATGACAACATCTATTACAATTAGGGTTCTTCAGTTCACTTCGGTTAGATGGTATTAGGTGTAGGTAATTTTAAAATTTTAAAAGCAATTCAATATATAATTCGTTTTGGTTTTCATTGCCAAAGCTTAAATAATTTTTAAAATTAAGAAATAGTGTAAATTTAATATTTTACCTGCTTAAAATTGGTAATGCTAAATTAATGTTGATTTTACAGAGCCATTATATATCTTCCCTTTAGCAAATTTAGACATTTTTTTTAAATACTAAGCAAATATGTAGACGCTCTTGGATTATCTTAGGCAGAAATGGGCGTGATAGAATTGGATTAAGCTTTTGGATTACGTTTAAGCGCAATTGAATTTTAATTTGATTTTTTAATTTTCCAGTCTGAAATTGTTAGCTTCCAAAGATAATCTCACAAGATAAAGCATTGTTCAGTTTCAGTTAAAATGGTATTAGGTGTAGATCATTTTACAATTTTGAAATAAATAAATTAGGTATCGTTATTATCTCAAGATCTAACTATCCGAACTACTAGAAACACAAGTTTTATCATTTCAGTTTTCCTATATTTTCAATATATTACAATCCAAACTACTAAGAACCCATGATTAATCAAATAAGTTTGGCTATATTTAAATTTTTCAAAAAATAAATATGTCTGTCTTCTAAAAATCATGTGTTTTTAAAGAACAATTATAAAATAATTTATATGCTGGGATTTATTATTAAAAGTATATAAATATATTTAAAAATAGATAGAATAACTACCCTTGCAGACATATATCTTATTTTCGTAATGTTCCTATACCTATCCACACACAGATATTTCCATATAAATACTACATTTTCTGCTTAGTTTTCTTAAATGAACTAAATGATATTTTCATCCAATTTGGCCGACTTTGCCATATGTAGAGCCTGTAGCATAAAGTGGGATATGATTCTATATGATTCTTCAAAATAACTTAAAAGCTGAGATACATATTTGCATAGGAACTGACAGACAGACAGACGTACTCAACTCCTCGACCAGATCAAATATATAAACATATCGTGCATATAATTAAGTAACTTTTTCAAGGGTGGAATATGAAAGAGCTAAAGATGAGCCTCATAAAATGAGAGTCGATAAATATTCAGATATTCAATTCAACTTCGGGTTTACTTAGCTATACTTGTAAAGTTTTTATTAAATAAAACTATAAGATATTTTTATTTGAATAGATGGGTTATTCTTATAGCTCACTTTTGAAGCCTCGGTTATGTGTTATACATGCAAAGCCTTATGGTTATAAAGTGAGCTTAAGAAAAACTATACTATATAGAAAGGTTTTCTTTAAAGATCGAGTCCTAAAGAGAATTAAATAGCTGAAATTTTAATGATGTTGATTATAAATAAAGATAGGTACGTAAGATATAATAAAGATAGGTATAGGTAGATAAAAATATAGATAATGCGATTGATTACCCAGCTCCTAACTACAAATTCACAACTATAGTACACATCATCAGCTACGGGCTGCTGCCGCCCACTATGCCCATTCGAGTTCTGGACCAACTGCCGAGCAAATGGCATCTGCAGCAGCAGCAGCACCACCTGCACCACCGGCACCACCACCACCGCCGGTTGCATCAAGTGGTCCGAATGGTGTGCTTTATCCAAATGCTGGCTATAGCGATCATGGCTTCTTGCAGATGACACTCGGCTATCTGTCGCCATCGTCGGGCACGTACAAGTCAGTGGATCCCTACTTTTTGTCCCAAGGTACGTTCGTGTCAATGGCCATTAGCAACACCCAAAAGTTTTGTCGGAGCAAGTGCACGACTCAATTATGGAACCCAAAACTCTGTGCGTGTAATGCAATTAATGTGAAGCTCACTTTTGCAGCCAGCCTTTTTGGAGGAGCGCCCTTCTTCGGTGCGCCCGGCTGTGTGCCCGAACTGGCCCTCGGCCTGGGCATGGGCGTGAATGCGTTGCGGCATTGCCGGCGGCGCAAGGCGCGCACCGTGTTCAGTGACCCGCAGCTGTCGGGTCTGGAGAAGCGTTTCGAGGCGCAACGATATCTGTCGACGCCGGAGCGCGTCGAGCTGGCAACGGCGCTGGGTCTGAGCGAGACGCAGGTCAAGACGTGGTTCCAGAATCGTCGCATGAAGCACAAGAAGCAGCTGCGACGACGCGACACGGCCAATGGTGAGTGGACAGAAGCCAGTTTTCTTATGAAAACTTTTCTTTGTACAACTTTTTGGCACTTTCATGCTCTTGGCCAATTAGCCTGCAGCCTTTTGATGAAAGTTTTCTTTAAGTTTTTGGCCCAAATCAAATTAGTTGTACAACTTTTTGGCAAATTTCTGCCCGCAGAACCCGTTGACTTCTCACGCACCGAGCCGGGCAGCAAACAGCAAGGCGATGCCATCACCAGCCCAGCAGCGGCCTCCACAGATTCCAAGTCCAAACTGGCATCGGGCTTGGGTCAACCGGCAACTAGTCAGCAGCAGCAGTTGCAAATGTGCTTCCTGCAGCATGGCTACTCCACGGATGACTATTCCGATCTGGAGGCGGACAGCGAAGATGATGATAATTCCAGCGATGTGGACATTGTGGGTGACTCGAAGCTATATCAGCTAACATAGGCCGTAAGTGGGTGAACATTGTCAATCAATAGACCAATTATAACAGTTGGTGTGCAAAAAATACCAAGCAATATAAAAAATACCACACTCATCAGTTTAAGGTTACAAAGATTATTAATTTACCTTATACTTAAATCAAATCTGATATCCACAATCAATAGCCTAACATACTACCAGATAAATCCATATTTTCTTTATACTTGGTATTTTTCTTGGTATATTTTGACACTTTTGATAATTTTCTAGGTCTTTTTGGTATTTCCGTGCACAACACATACGATTTAACGTGCATACAAAACACGTTATAAGTCTGCAAAATATACCAAAAAATACAAAAAATACCAATGCAAAAATAATTACTTTTTTTCTTTCTAAACATTTCATATTACTCAGAAAGCTTTCTACTAATAATTCAATAATTAAGTTATTTGGTATTTTTGTTTATTTTTTTTTTCAGATTTTTCTCAGTTTATGTTGGTATTTATTGCATAACACTCACAATTTCGAGTCTATACAATTAACGTTATAAATCTGTAAATAATGATCATTTGAATTGAGCGCCAGTTCTAGTCACAGTTACATTTAAGCTAAGTATATACACATATACATATATACATACATTAAAATATTATTAATATTTAAAATATAGTGATTGTATTCGAGTACTTCCATTTTAAGAACTCTCTCCCTATCTCTCGGCGAGTATATAACTCTCTTTCATAGTTCTATTGATGTGTTAGCCAGCTTAGTATTAATGCTTTCAATAAAAACTCATGTGAAAATGGATCTTAAAAGTTAAAACTTTCTTGCCTCCGTCGAGTTTATGGGGGCGCGTCCCGTCGAGCAATCAAATCCAATTGAGGACCAACAAAAAGTAGGCACTAATCAGGTTAAACTGCGACATTTCCATAGGGTTGAAGTATAGTCCACGACTATGGCTGCGGCCACGCCCTCTTCCCCATACGCCCACACGCCTGGCGCATGGCCATGTGGGCGTGTGCCGAGGGTGAAATACTCGGAAGTGCTCTCAACAATGGCAAAATAATTGCGGGTTATTAGCAAGCCATTTAGTGAGACACTTTGTTGCCACTCGCAGCACAAAAGTGGTTGAATACTTCCAATTGACTTGTAATTGTGGCTACCAGTACCGAAGTTCCGGCGTGCTTACAACTTCCCCCATATGTTTGCCGTTAAGGTAAGTACATTTTAATACCATCTCATCTGTCTAAGATTTAGATTAAGAGGCTTATCCGCGAAAGATTTGCATTTGTACTTTTATTAGCCTTATTTTGCTGGTTATATACATATATAAAATCATATTCATTATTATTATCTTATTTATATTATTATCGATTACACGACCATAACAATAGATTATGATCTGTACAAAATTGAAAATATTTAAATTACACCAAAAAATAATTTAAAAGTAAAATTACCAACTAAGTATGTTCGTTTTAAGTGTGAGAAATTTGTTTTTCAATTTATAGATATATATATATATATAGAAATAGGTTTATAGATCTAAGTTTAAGATAGAACAGTACATATATTATATATAGCCTTAAATGTCATGTCATCTGAAAGAGATTTAGATATAATATTCTATAAGCTAAGAATCCCATTTATTCAACATGTTAAATTGGTATGTTGGGAGCTTTTGGATATAGATATAGAGCAATAATATTTAATTGCTTCAAATCGTTTTAACATATATCTTATATCATGTCATATGTCTCCGACTAACATCAAACAGATATAAGTGAAGAGCTTGAATTGCATAGTATTCAAGTTCGAAACAAAATATATCTAATAATATCAATTCATACGAAAACTCTCACAAATTATGTGGCGAAGTTTTCTTCACTAAAATATACAGCTTCAATATTACAGTATTTAGTATATGTATGTATACTTTATTCCGTATTGGTCGAAACTAAATCTGTATAACTATCTAAATTGGGAGCTTAGCAAATATAACATTTAAATTAATATTAAACGTAATTTTGTATATTTATACAAAGATTCAAAGTGCGCAGTTCTATAAAAACAAAAACATATTTCCTAATCAATTTAATAGCTTACTAAGTTGCGCGTGTTTCTATTTTTATTATTTTTAAAAACTAGCCGTAATCAGTCACATATTGACTAAAAACGAGAGTAGAATACGATTGTATCAGGCAAAAATATAAAATACAATTAAAGGTCGTACGAAACGAAGGAGGTACTTTAAAAAAAAACACCCAAAAACATATATAATAATAATTATAAGCAGATATATGTACACTTATCTGTCGCATTTTCGAATAATCAATGTGAGTGTTATCAAAAGTGGCGGCGTTTGGGTAAAACCTCATATCGGAGTCGAGCCTCCACACAAATCAACTGGCGGCGAAAAAAAACAGATTTGTGGCTAATTACGTTGGGTAAGTGTATACAGGGTGTTCATTTTTTTAACTATAGAAACTAACTATAAAAACTATTAACGTAAATTGCGAGGAAATTCTGATTTAATTTTATTATTTTTTATTTTTACACTGCATATAATCGGGTTTTTTGTCGGGCACCCTGTTTAACAGTTATTACGTATATTAACTGATAACAGAAGTGTTTATAAATAAACTAAAAACAGTTGTGTTCAAATTGAAAGCCCGCACGCCAATTTTCTTTCAACTTCACGCACTTTTTCTGTATCTCTCAAGTTCTCCCACAACTGACAATTGCGCTCATTCACGCCCTCCTTTGCGAGTCGGACAACTCTGCTCATTAGCTCAATCAGCACACGCATATATATATGCACATATACTTGCATATATATACTATATATACATATTGTACATATGTATATATATGCTTAAGTTGCCTGCGTGGGGGCATGTCTCGCTCTGTTTATGTCTCCCGATGCTTTCCCCTAGTCTTACTCTCTCTCTCTCTCTGGTTCTTTGCTCTCCTTCTTACACATGCCTGCTGATTAGGCGTACACTTACATGTTATCTGCATTTAATACCCTATTTTATTGTAGCCCGCTGGGTATATTGAAAATGTTTGGTTGTTTTAAATAGTCAGCCAAAGACTTTATAATGTGCGTAGGAATTGTTAAAGCTTAGATCTAAATATAGCTGTTTGGGAGATTGAAATATATCATGCTTGACAAATAGGCCTCAGACATTGGCACTGAATGTCGCCTAGCTATTTAAAAATATATTTATTTTCCGCTGCTGCTTTCTATTTAATAACATTTAAATGTATAATATATATTGTAGACATATTTTATGCAATTGAACTAAGCTTCTAAATATTACATTGGTATTTTTTGATTCCTAAGAGACCGACATTATAAATCGTATGCTTGAGCTATGGCATTAAGGATTTAGTTTCTGATTGCATAGTGTGCAATTTGCAGGGTATGCCCGCTTTGACAATTAGGTACTTAGGTGTTTACCCAATGAAGACTGACCCAATACATATTTTGTAATATGTCTATTTCTAAATAGACATTATTTATTGTATACTTAAATATATACAAAGTATATCGATTAATTCTATATTAATATCTCTTATTTAAACCCCGTTATTATGCACACACTTTATTGAGAGTGCTCTTTAATTTGTACAGGGTATATCTCAGTTAATATTTTCCATATTATCATACTGTCCTATATACATGCTTGATTCATACTTTGATATATAGGGTATCTCTTCGTCGCGCATACCCACTTTTATTATAATTTTCTTGTATTTTTAATGCCCGTCTGGCACAACGAATTTGTGACGTTGCATTCGCCGCCGCCGACGTCGCCGCCGTTCCCATTGCCAGCTGAAAGTCAACGTCGGTGTCGCTCAGTCTCTTCAGTACAGCCATCGACTGCGGTTCAGTTGGTGTTCTCCTTTGCTTGCTCTGTTCATCCGTGGTCTGTTTTGATCAGTACGTTTATCGTTGCCGCCGCTGTAAGTGAAAGTACTATTGTTTTCATTATTTACGTATGCACACCTGCATATATACACGAGGAAGCACCACAAATGTGTTGTGCCGGCATCGGAGAGGGTCCGAGCAAAGTTATAGCCAAGTGGGCGGCACTTATAGATAGATAGCTCACGTATATATATACGATATATGCCATATCTAAATCAAATCATGTGTTTTCAGCGCTATTGCCAAAAATAAAATAGAGGCACGTGTCGCTGCTCTGAGAAATAGCCAAAAAAAATAATAACATATACTTTCGCTTGTTCCGGTTTCTCTTTTTCAACCGATATCTGCATACATATGTGTATATATAATTAAATAGCAAGTAGAACAAACAGGTTATCAGCTAGCCAAAACAACCAACAAACCACACTCACACACACACGCACACAAACGCACACACACACTCTCACCCGGAGAGGAACTGACAAGTTTTTGATAATAATTTTCCACTCAAGCTTCTCTGTGGAGCTGTCTGTCGTTTGACCTTCACACTTTTTGGCTGACATTGCCCTTTAATTTGTGTCATTGTTGTTTTTTAAGGAGCCACAGGAACCGCATAATTTATACACTACATTACACCCAACCATGGCGGCCAGTAACGGTGATTGTAAGTGAAAAATCAAAGCCTTGCACTGCTTCTGCTCCCCCTTCCTGCACTCTCCGCTCTCCGCTCTGCGCTCTTTGCTGCCTGCCAATTGCCTGTTTTCCCCCCAGTTGCACCACAAGTTTTAATTTATAACTTGCCCAACTAGTTGCCCCCCTCCCCACACAGCATCCACTATCCCCAAATAACCAACCTTTGTCTATGCCAAAATTAATATTTGAAGTAGCCCAGAACTAACCTAAAAATAGTTGACCCCATGTATGTTGCACAGTTTTTGAACGCTTGAAGCAACCCTCTAAAACTATTTTATAGCCTAATTAATTAGAAAAATTGTTCAAAAAAAAATTCCATATACTAATATAATTTCAGCTATGCAATTCTCTTATCTCCAGTACTAACTAAGAATCTAAGCTTCGCGATTATATAAACTATGCGTACTAAATGTTTATTTGATGTTTTGTTTATTTATATCTATAATATTTTGTATATAATATATAGAAAACGAGGAATGAGCAATATCTTGATATAACATATGTTATCTGTTATATACATATGTTATCTATATATATATATATATAGATATACATATTTTTATGGTTTCTCATATGCTTCTATTAGTTCAATATTATATTTTGATTAGTTAAGAAAATTAATAATTAAATAACGAATAGTATGCATATTTTTTTGTCCTTCAAAATATATAATTTGATCAGGTTAAGTGTAATACTATAAAGATGACTTAAATATATCCCAGTCCGCATAAATATAGATGTATATTCTTGATAAGCACAATGTTCTGGGTCATGTCCCTACGTCTGCTTGCCTGTTTGTCCGATTCTCTGCAAAATAGAGTTTTTCTGTATTTATATGTCCGAAATATATATAAATGTCCGAACATAATTCTTACTCAAAAAAAAACAAAAGATATTTAAGACAAACTGAGTAGCTAAGTTCTTCTCCTAACATATGTTTCTTCTAACATACTCTTAAACAAAATAACGTTTGATGTAATTATTGCCGCAACTAGTCATAGCTCAGCTTGAATATTTATTAGAAGCCTTGACTAACTCGCCGCCTGTTGCAATTCACAGCCAAAATGACTCAACAGGGACCCGCCTTTGACTCGAATGCGATGACGCTCACTCGCTTCGTACTGCAGGAGCAGCGCAGGTTCAAAGAAGCAACGGGAGATCTGTCCCAGCTGCTGAACTGCATACAGACGGCCATCAAGGCGACTGCGTCGGCTGTGCGGAAGGCTGGCATTGCCAAGCTGCACGGCATTGCGGGGGATGTGAATGTGCAGGGTGAGGAGGTCAAGAAATTGGATGTGCTGTCCAATGAGCTGTTCATCAATATGCTGAAGTCCTCCTACACCACCTGCCTGATGGTCTCCGAGGAGAATGAGAATGTCATCGAGGTGGAAACCGAGCGACAGGTGAGTGCAATTTTTTGTACACGATTCGAACCAATTAATTGGCTCTACATTTTCGCAGGGCAAATATATTGTTTGCTTTGATCCACTGGATGGTTCGTCCAACATTGACTGCCTGGTTTCGATTGGCTCCATTTTCGCCATCTACCGCAAGAAGAGCACGGGCGTGCCTACCGTACAGGATGCACTGCAGCCGGGTAATCAGCTGGTGGCCGCTGGCTATGCGCTCTACGGCTCCGCCACAGCCATTGTCTTGGGATTGGGTAGCGGTGTCAACGGCTTCACCTACGATCCTGCCATTGGTGAGTTTATTTTGACCGATCCCAATATGCGTGTGCCCGAGAAGGGTAAGATCTATTCCATCAATGAGGGCTATGCCAGTGATTGGGAGGCGGGTGTCTATAACTACATTGCGGCCAAAAAGGATCCCAGCAAGGGCAAGCCATACGGTGCCCGCTATGTCGGCTCCATGGTGGCCGATGTGCATCGCACCATCAAATATGGCGGCATCTTCATCTACCCGGCCACCAAAGCCGCGCCCAATGGCAAGCTGCGTCTGCTCTACGAGTGCAATCCCATGGCCTATCTCATGATCCTAGCCGGCGGCCTGGCCAGCGATGGCAAGATTAGCATACTGGATATTGTGCCACAAAAGATACACGAACGCAGCCCCATATTCTTGGGCTCCAAACTTGATGTCGAGGAGGCTCTCAGCTACCTGAAGTGATGTGTGTGTTTCATACTATTTGGATAATAAATAATGTTTTTTATATACTCTATACGAGGGCAGATTAGGGTGGAATGGGAACTATGTCAAATAATATTTAGAATAGGTGTCGGAAGATCCTTAGAATTTTCAGTGATATAATGGAGAAGATAAGTTAAAGATGGGAAACTAATATTATAAATAGTACTCGCTACTCTTGCTTATCAGCTAATTATATTACAACATAGCCAACTTTTAGACTGGGGCTCGGACCCGGATTTTGTTTACCCTAATGATAAGGAAAATTGCCATTTAAATTGTAAATAGTAATTACTTTCAAGACCTTTAATCCAGACAATAGATCCATAGACTAGCCTGAGATTCGTACTCTGATCTTGTGGGCTAAATAATATTTTGAAGTTTAATAGAGACTACAAAACTGAGATACCCAATCGTACATGCTCAGTCAGGTTTTAGTTTTGACCTCGCTTTTTACAAATCAGAAATAAGTTAAGATTTTAATTTTTGAGACCTATTGTCGGATATTTTGCAGAAAGTTAAAGAGTAAAGAGTTACATAGCATATGTAATGCATTTATTACATAACTTTTTAAACCGACAATAATATATAATATATAAATTGCAAGTAGAAAAAACTATTAGTTAACAACTTATCAGCTAAACCTTTGTAGTACTTTATGCCTAAATCCAAGCTATACCAAACTTGGATTCTTCAACAATTAAACTTAATTTCTTAGGGCCTCATCTTTTCGCTAAAAAGCATTCGCCTTGTGCTTGGGCACAAAGCTAAATCCCTCTGGCACGGGGCCGAGCAGCATTTCGCTGAGCTTCACCCAGTCGGCGGAATTGCCAGAGCTCATAAGGGTTTCCATTTCATCGCGTCCGCGATACTTTTGTGGCCTTTCGTTGATCTTCTGCGGCGGCGACAGCTGCAGTTCCTCGGGTATGTAGCGATAGAGGAACGACTGCCACTCCAGCAGAAAGCGGCGCGTGTTCTCCACGCCCTTGGTATCGGAGCCCCAGTGCTCCAGGCCATAGTTGCAATAGCGACGCAGCAGTTCAAAGCGCTGCGTGGATGTGGGCGCCCAGGGCTTTTGCTGCTTGATCTCCTGGAATATCCAGGGCTTGATCAGTGCACCGCGTCCAATCATCACAGAGCTGACGTGCGGCGCCAGAGCACGTCGCTCCACATAATCCTCGTAGCTGACTATGTCGCCGTTGCCAATGACTGGCATGTGCCTGGCCTGCGCTGCGCACTGCTCAATGTACGTCCAGTTGGCCTGCCGCGTGTAGCGCTGCTCGCGCGATCTTCCATGCAACGTTACCGCCGCAGCGCCCCACTGCTCCACCAGCGGCAGCAGCTCGTGTGCCACACTCTTGTCGGCATAAATGCCCGTGCGCATTTTGACCGTAAAGGGCAGCCGGTCGGACAAGGCCGCACAACTGCGCACGGTCAGCTCCAGGATGTTGGTGCGTCGCATTAGCGCACTGCCGCCGCCCTGCTGATAGATGAGGTCAATGGGACAGCCAATGTTCAGATCAATATAGTCCACGCGCGCCGTTTCGTGCAGCACCTGTGCCGCCTGTGTGATCACATTGGGATTGTTGCCGCACACTTGCACGCCGAAGATGTCTTCGCTCTCGTGGCGTTTGGTCAGCGCCCACTCCTGGCCCAGACCCTTGAGCAGCGGCACAGCGCAGGCCATTTCGCCACAGGTGATGTCCGCGCCAAACTCCTTGCAGATGCGTCGAAATGGCAAATTGCCGACTGTGGTCAGCGGGGATAACACCAGCTTCTCACGGAAGTCAATGACAGGCTTGCGCTGAGCATCGCGTCCATTTGGGTTATCATCTATGGCACTGCCAATGGGCGTGCTCTCCTCTGGTGTTTCTGCTAACTTCTCTGCTGGTCCTTCTTCCTTTTTCTGCTGTTCCTGCTGCTTTCTTTCATCCCGCAGTTTTTCCGCCTGCTTTATCAGCTCCTTGGTGCGACTAAAATCGTAGTCGTGCTTGCGCAGACGCACCTGCAGTTCTGTTTAACGATATTTATGATTATAAACATATACAAAAGAAGTTCAATTTAAGTTCAACCTGAGCTGATGCCATTGCACGTGGTCTGCGCCGCCTGCTCATCATAGTGTTCCGCTTTCATATTCCTGCCCTGTGCGTCTGTGTGCGCCTTGGCAAAGCGACAGGTGACACCCCGCCCACAATAGCCCTTTGTGGCATACACATAGCAAACATCGCCCAAGTCGACGCCTTTGGCGGCAACAAAGGCTTCCACATCGTGCACATAACGGCAATTGAGCACGGCACATGGCGGGCCGCCGGCGCCATCTATCAGCGAGTGGCAAAGATGGGAGTAGCGCTCATCTTTAAACACAGGCCGGTTCTAAAGGAAGAATGTTAAGTATAATTATACATTATAGTTTACATGCATGTTTACCTTATTTTGGCCACGTTTGCGCTCCTTTTTATTGCCACGCTTGTTGCCAGATTCGTTGGGAGTGCCGGCATCCTCCGCGTGTTTTCTCTTGTTTGATTCTCCATCGACCGACACGTTCACTTCGCTGTTGGGACCATTATTAGCTTCGGCTAACAAATATCTATATAAATTAAAAATTTAAGCTTTATAAACGCCGTGCAAATTTCAGATAACAAGACCCACTCTGGCTTAATGTAGCAAATACCCGGCTCCATCTCGCAGCGTGTGTATGTACTAAAAAATGAAAGAGAAACGTTTTAGAACAGCAAACTAGAGATGCGTTGTTCTGTTCAGAAGAAATGCAATTGAATGAACTAATGAACTTATTGAGTCATATGTTCAACTTATTACAAATAAATGAGTTATATTAAATGCTATATGGCATTGAATAGAATATAGCATACATAAACAAATTAATTAATTAACTCTACAATATAATATATCAGAAATGCACAACTCTTAAAAAAAAATTAAATGAGTGATTAGGTTCAATCGGCAAATGGAAGTAGAACTTACAAACAACTAAACACGAAAGTGCACGTGCTCAAATCAGCTGTTTATATCGATAAATTAATGAAATGTCTATCGACTGCAGTTGCTCCTCAAAATGAATTCGATTTAAATGGAATTAGGTGTATCAAAATATTATATATTACTATTTAACGGCGTAGAAATAATAATTTTTTATTGATAAGTTAGATTTTAGTATTTTACATAGCACTATGTCTCATAAAATTAGCCTTGATGTCCTATCCATTGCTCGCATAATCAGTGAGCAGCATACTGACCCTGTGACCGCTCAGCTGTTCCACGATGGTGCAGTTATTTAAATTCCTATTAAAATCCACAAAATTGGTAAGTATATAAATAAACTAATATTATAATTGAATTATAAAGCAACCACTGCAGCCTGCGCGCGCCCACTTTCGTTCCAATTTCCTGGACACGTTGCGTTTGACGGTGCGCGGTGGCCATGGCGGCAATGGTTTACCAAAATACGGCGGCGTCGGTGGCCAGGGCGGCTGTGTCTACTTTGTGGCTAAGGAAGGGCTAACGTTGCGCAAGCTGGAACAGAACCTAAAGGATAAACGCGTGCAGGCCACCAGCGGCGAAGATAGCAGCAAAGTTAGCATCTTTGGACGACGCGGCGTGGATCAACGCATTGAGGTGCCGCTGGGTGTGCAGGTGTACGATGAGCAGCAAAAGCTGCTGGCCGATCTAAATGAGCACCAGGCCAGCTGCATTGTGGCAGGCGGCGGCACGGGTGGCTGCACGGGCAACAATTTCCTAGGACGGCCTGGCGAGAGTCGCACAGTGCATCTGGATCTCAAGCTGATAGCGGATGTCGGTCTGGTGGGTTTTCCCAATGCCGGCAAGAGCACGCTGCTAAAAGCCATTTCTAATGCCAAGCCCAAGATTGCCGCCTATCCGTGTAAGCAATGATATTCCCGCAGCTACATTTCACTTTTAACATCTTGTTTCGCCCTGCAGTTACCACAATACGCCCGCAAATTGGCACCGTTGAATACAGCGATCTGCGCTCCATTAGCATCGCGGATCTGCCAGGTCTGATAGAAGGCGCCCATGCCAACTTTGGAATGGGCCACAAGTTTTTAAAGCACATTGAACGCACACGTTTGCTGCTATTCATGGTGGATATATTTGGCTTTCAGCTGAGTCCGCGGCATCTGCATCGGGACTGTCTAAGCAACATTTATGCGCTGAACAAGGAACTAGAGCTGTACGATCCTACGCTGCTGGAGAAGCCCTGCGTACTGCTGCTCAACAAAATGGACAAGGAGGGCGCCCAGCAGCTCCTAAAAAATCTAAAGCCAAGCATTAAAGATCTATCCAGCGGTCTAGCCGCGTGTCCTGAGGAACTGCGCCCTAGCAGAGTTCTTAAATTCGAGCACATTCTGCCCATATCAGCCAAGAACTCGGCGCGCATAACGCAAGTAAAGCAACAGCTGCGCGAAACGCTAGACGAGCTGGCGGAACAGCATCTGGTAGCAGACAATCAGCAGCTGAAAGAGCAGCTGCAGCAGCGAGTAGGCGTAATTGGTCCGAAAATAACTTAATAAAAGCAACAGATTATGTTTAAATGAAAAATCTTAATTAGAACATGTTTTACATTTCGTTCTTATTGGAATTTGCAAATTCAAATAAGATATGCTCTGATTACTTTTTAACCCATTAAACGATGCTTTCTTATCGATAACACTGCGCGAAATAAAACATCGCATATTACTGCGCCACCAGGCGATATCACATCACTAAGCAACCACACTACACAAACACGCGTACATGTACGCACATGCACGCACGCAGGAGTTTGTTGTGTCGCGTCGCGCTAAAACATCGAAGCGAAAAAAAAATGTTGAAAATTATATTGCTCGCTCCTAGTGAAACAAATTCCAATTGGTATTCACGTGCAAACTAGTTGAAAATGTGTCCAGTTGGATTGCAAGCGTCGTCTTAATTAAATTCAGCTCGTAATGAATATAATTGACATTTCGATACATACACACACACACAAACGCACACATCTTCAAAGGGGAGCAGAACACTGAAAAACTGGTATATAAAAGACGACGCCAAATGAAAAAGACAGCGCGCGCGAGCGAGAGAGATAGAACAGTGCACTGCGGGTGTTTTTCTAATAACCAATTGCAACGGTAAAAATTTTTGCCAAAATCAAATTGAGATTATCTCTCCCGTAATGTCACAACACAACAATCAACCGCATTCGCATCAGCATCATCACTACTATCAGCAGCAGCACCACCACCACCAGCAACAACAACAACAACAACACCACCACCTCCAGCAGCAGCAGCAGCATTCGCAGCATAAACAAATACAACAGCAGCACAGTTGGTACTCACATGTTGCTTCCTACCCGCCCCACCAACCGCAAGCCGCCGCTGCTTATGCGGCGCCCTGCAAGAATAACAACAATAATAACAACAACAATATTATGAATGCATACGGCACGGGCGCTGCTGGCGCGCACTATTATGGCGCTGCTCCTACTGCTGGGGCTGGGGTGGGCTATAACCTTGAGGCCAATACTGTGGCCTATGCGCACAACCAGCTGCTGCAATACCAACAACAACAACAACAGCAGCAGCAACAGCTCAGTCAACGCTCGTATATGCCGCACAGTTTAATGCATGGCTCCTATCCTTATATCAAGAGCGAACCATTGGAACTGCCGGATGATAGACAACGCCATCAACAACATCAACAGCAGCAGCAACAACAACAACATTTCCAGAATCCAATGGCACCGCCACCAGCGCCTGCCGTCAATCGTCACACGCTCGATGCTAGCGGTGAAATGATAATAAAATGTAAGTATCGAGCTTTAGGGATATCGATACCCATACTGAAACTTACACGCGCTCATACAAAAACTAACAGTAATAAGCAATTTGTAGTAGAGTAGGGCGTGGAGATGGGCACGTGTCGCAAATTTTTCGCACGGCGCAAATTTGGGTTTATGTGAAAATATTTTGTTTATTTATTTTGTTGTGCTCTTACATTATTTGTATAATAGAGAAGTTTGAGTATTTTAACAAAATTAATCAATTTCACAAAACAAGAGGCTCTTTGATTATTAACGTCACTTTTACTAATTATAGCATTTAGCTATTTCTCGCATATACTAGAAGTCATATAAAGAAATTTTAATATAAAAAGAAAGTGGTACGTCCCGTGGATCTGTAAAGTAAAGTAAAGTAAAGATTCCTATATAATAAATTGGGTTTTAATATGAACAACTGTTCAATGGTGTGTTGATCATTTTGGCCGTGCGTGTTACTAAATTGTGTGTTCGTGCTCGTGTCCAGTTGGAAATATTAGGCACTCCCCATCTTTAATTGGTACAGACGCACACAATCACGCAGAGCGTAACAAAAACAAGACCGAGAGTGTAGGTGAGTGAGCGCGAGAGCGCACACAGTTACTGTTACTTGGGCGCCTATATTTTTCCTATAGCGTAAGTAGCCATAATTTCAGCTCCGTTTTTGGCGTCGCCGAATCAATAAAACGTTTTGTTACAGAGTTGAGTTACGCTGAGGTTTTTTGCGCTTGTTTCGTTCGGTTGGTTTTCGCTGGGTTCGCTAGGTTTTCGGTTTTCAGTTTTCGGTTTTTCAGTTCGTCTACGTTCTGTATCTGTATCTCTGTTTCTGAGTGCGTTTTGTCTGTCCGTGTGTATGTATCTATTTGATAAATGTATATTGTATGTACCATTATAAATATATAATACATATATATTCTCATATAGATGCTTTATATTACCGGCTATAACCTTAAAGCTTATGTACACATACACACATCCAGTTATTGATGGATTTTAGATTGTGTGTGTGCGTTTGTGTGTTTGACGGTTCTCACTTTCAAGTCTCGAATCTTATGTAACTGTACGTTCCTAAATAGATTATAACCTTATGTATGCAGAGAATACTCTTTCATAGCCATTAGGGCGGGGCATACATACATATATAATAAATATATAACATCCAGCGCACGCAATTTGATGATACAATAACTATTATAATCAAAAAGAAAGAAAATTGTTTTTGCGTTTCCTTCAATAGCGCTTGCGGAAAATTAAGAAATATTGTACATACTATAGATTTATGTGTGTATATAAGAAAGCAAAAAGAAAATCACTCTGCTCGTGTTATCTCTGTTTTCATGCTTATCAAAGCAGCGAGAACAACTGAAAACAATTGAACAATATGTTTGTATGTGTAAGCCATAGAAACTGGAAAATAACTAAAGTTCCCAAGAAGATACTTTCGTTTTATTTCGTTGCTTTCCACAATGATTCCGTGTATTTCTGTGCGGTAATCTAAAAATGCGACTCTTAAATTTTTTAAAAATTAATTATAATTAAATGAATTGCCATTTTTAAATCTTAATGTAGTCTACAACATTTATTTTACATCTGGTATTGTACTATTTTTAGCACTATATATTTGCCAAAATCAAATTTTTTTTTTTTAATAAATTTAGATTTATATTTTCTAATATGATTTATGATTTCGATGACATGATAATCTTGTTTTTCTTAGTGAATTTTTCTTCGCAATCATTTTCCATGTTGAATTCCTAATAAGAAATTTAAGATAAACAATTTTAATATGCCTTCGTTTTGTATATTTTATTAGTTTTATGATGTTCTCTAAATTTCTGTGCATTTTTTTTTTATATTTTCCATTTATAAT